CACCAGAATTTACGAGGTTCGGCTAATTTTGCTTACTCCTCGGACACAACCAATATTTTATTTCACTCCAAAAATACAAGTGAAATAATACTAAAGAGAGAAGATACAAATGCCTTAAACAGATGAGAAGGCAAATGAGAGGTGTGTTTAAATCCTAAACATTAAGCCTTCTTTTATAGGGGGAAAATCCCCCCAACTATTGCTAACCCACCGATGTGGGAAGCTGAAATATTTGACATTTCAACACTACCAAGATTCTGTAACAATTGCAACCAATGGGCTGGAGCTTAAACTTGTTAGAATTTTGACAGTTTACACCACTATTGATCTTTCGAGCAACAAATTTGAAGGACAAATTCCAAGTATTATGGGAGATCTCATTGCACTTCGTGTCTTGAACTTATCTTATAATGGATTTCAGGGTCATATACCGAAATCACTCGGAAATTTATCTGTAGTTGAATCATTGGATTTTTCATTTAACCAGCTTTCAGGAGAGATACCACAACAATTTGCTTCTCTGACGTCTCTTGCATTCTTAAATCTCTCCCACAATCATCTCCAAGGATGTATTCCTCAAGGACCTCAATTTCATACCTTTGAAAATAACTCATATGAAGATAATGATGGATTACGTGGATTCCCAGTTTCAAGAGGTTATGGAAGTAACAAGATGCCAGAGACAAACAACACAGCGTTTGTGCTGGACGAAGAAAGTGATTCTACATTTCTAAGTGAATTTATGAAGGCAATTCTTATAGGATATGGTAGTGGGCTAATTATTGGATTATCCATAACATATATCATGCTTTCAACTCAAAATTCCAATTGGCTTTCTTGGATTGTTGAAGAACTAGAATACAAAATCACAATGAGAAGGCGAAAGAAGCAGCGAGGCAATCAAAGGCACTACAGAAGATGAAATTGTTGCGTCTTATATTGGATTGCAGCACTGTAATACTGAAAATTAAACATGTGATGATTATGAACTGAATATTACATCTTAATTTTCATATTTTTTATCTATAATTTACGCCGTTAGGTGGCACATTCCTTCTATATACTTATATATTTAATACAAAGTTACACATTGGAGTGTTTCCTGTTCTATATACTATCTTTTGATCTTCAAAATTCCCCCCTGTATAGTTCTACAAAAAAGGTACAGTATTTGACAAGTAACCATATGAATCTATTCCTCCTCTGCTTGCAGAGGCGGATCCAGGATTTAAATCCTGTGTGTTCAATTTTTAAGGTTTTAGGTATTAAACCTATTATAATTATTAAAGTTATGGGTTCATATCTACTATTTTTACAATTTTAATAAATTTTTACTCCGTGTCAAAAGTTATGGTTCAAGCCCATGTCTGCTTGTGCTACCCATTTTTGAGCTCTGTAGGTAGCGCCATAGATGTGAGAAACAAAGCTTCTCTCTCTTTCAATACACCTTTTATTTATTTGTTGGGATAAAACGATCCAAAAATAGTTAGGAGTTTGTCCTGATTTTCTTATTGTATCTGCATTTTACCTTTTCTTGAAGGAAAAACAAAGACTTTACCATAATTGATTTTACTTTTCATATAAGAAAAATATATATCGCTCTTCCATATTTAACAGATCTCTTTCTTGGAAAAAAATATTGTGACCTCTATAAATTGAAATTCCCTTTTCCTACAAGGACAATAATATCCACAATGTAGTCGGTAAGAGAGTTTTATTTAGGCACTTATGCGTAATTTTAAGTGTTTGACTCACTCTCTTATTTTATCGAACTTTTTAGATGTCAAAAATAAGAAGAGGTTGAAGTAATGAATTTTTTTGTTTTTTGGTTCCCCATCGGGTGTCCGATACCCGTATTGGAGCCCGACTATATGCGGATTCGCCCCATGTAGAGCCTCATTCGGAGGGTAGTGCTCCCTACGAAGAATTTTTCCATACCCAGGGCTCGAACCCGAAACCTCTGGTTAAGGGAAGAACAGTCTCATTCACTGCACCGCATCCTTTGATGGTGAAGTAATGGATTTGGCTATTCCTGCGTTCACTTCTATTCTTTATTTTTTAACATGTATCTCATCTCTACGTTTCCATTTGTAATATTACTTGCTTTATTATCTTTCACATATTTTCAACTTTGAATGTCTCTCTACATAATTTTAAAGGGAAGACAATAGCTCCAAAACTATTTATTAATTTCAATGAATTTGAAGATCAGAGACTTTTATACAGAGGGAAAGAAAAAGTAGTTTGACAATTTATTTCTTTAGACAAATACAAAAGAAGACCATTGATTATATCCATTTTAAAGTAATGTTTTCCTACTTATATGGCTTCTTATGATTGGGACTTATGACTTGAGATATAGGATAATCTTGTAGAAAGTATATATCAAACTATTTCAAATAAGTTGGAATCAGATATATGAATCTTCATAAATTATATTGAATTAATTTAAACTTGTCTCTCTCCGGTAAAGAGTATCAAATAAGTATTTATTTTACATAGAGAATTTGAAGTTTGAAAATATATATAGCTAGTTTGAGGAAGGAGGAGTATTAATTTCAAGTGAAATAATGGCTTGGATTTGGTTTTGGATACAGTGGCTTGAGGGAATCTATTTTGTGTTTATTGTTTTTTTTAATTCAATAAAAAATAACAATTTAGATGTGTTTGGACAAGAAAAATAAAAATAAACAAAAACAAAACATTATACCTTCTTAGACAAATAGAGCCAAATTTGACATTTCCCTCCCAAGACTTGTGCATTGACTTTATAATAACAACATTTTCTAAACTTTTGAATTGATTTTTAATTTATGAGGGGTTGCTCTGATGGTAAGCAACCTTCACTTCCAATCAAGAGGTTGTGAGTTCGAGTCACCCCAAGAGTAAGGTGGGGAGTTCTTGGAGGGAAAGATACCGAGGGTCTATTTGGAAACAGCCTCTTTACCCCAAGGTAGAGGTAAGGTCTGCGTACACACTACCCTCCCCAAACCCCACTAGTAAAATTATAGTGGGTTGTTGTGGTATAATTTATGAGAACGCATTTATAGTTGCTTGACTTTCNAAATGCAAGAAAAACACAATTGAATGCAATTTCTAAGCACTTTACAAGCTAGTATGTATTTCCAGTAGAGTGCTTAGAACGGTAAAACTTCCTCCCTTTCAATTTATATGACGCAATTTTCTTAATATTTTATTTCAAAGAAAATAAAATATTTTTATATTTGGAAACAATTTAACTTTAAACCTCCGCTTTATCTGTTTTACTTTTAATCAAGCTTGTATAATCAAATATTTTTATATTATGAAATGTTTGAGACCTTAATTTTTAAATGTCTTGTAACCACCCAAATATTATGATATGTTTTAGACTATTACTCCCTCTCTTCCAATTTATGTGAATCTATTACCTTTTTGGTCTGTTCCAAAAAGAATAAACTCTTTCTAAATTTGGTAACAATTTAGCTTAAACTTACAATTCTACTCTTAATAAGAAGCTTTTATAACCACAAAAATACTCTGGGCCCCTTTTTGACTTGTTTAGGACCGCAAATTCCAAAAGTCTTCATTTTTCCTTAAACTTCGTGTCCAGTCAAACAGATTCACATAAATTGGAACGGGGGAGTATAAATTTCAAAAGTCATTTTTTCCTTAAATTTGATACTTGAGTCAAGTTATATCACATAAATTAATGTGGAGGGAGTTTCAGTTCCTATTTTCTTGAATTAACAAAATTTCAAAACTTGAGGAGAAAGTGAAAGCGAAAGATAAAGCATGCCTTTATATAGTAGTCTTGTTATTTTGTTATTATAAGACAAAGTTGTATTTTTCTTGAATCAAACAGATATAAAAATATATATGCAAATTCGGTCAAGTTTCAACCAATTATCTAACAAACAAACCATCTGAATACACTTTGCAGCAACTTTGAAAATTCAAAGAAAACCTGATTCTTGCTAAAACTTTGCATAGCTTTTTCTTACTAATATTCATTACCAACTTTTGAACTCTTTTTTATGCTAAACATGGGCTACAGGCAACTCTCAGTTGTGCTGTTAGTTGTCTTTCTCTGTAAATTTTCTTTCTCTTCGACCCTGTGCCCTATAGATCAAAGCATTTCGCTTCTAAAATTCAAGGAAACGCTTACTATAGATCCTACGCGTAGTTGGTGTTATCCAAAAACGGTTTCATGGAATATGAGCAGAGATTGCTGCATATGGGATGGAGTGAAATGCGATGAGTTGAGTGGCCATGTCATTGAACTTGACCTAAGTTGCAGCCAGCTTAAAGGGAAGATTGATTCCAACAACAGCCTCTTCCAGCTCTCTCATCTACAAAGACTTAACCTTTCTATGAACGACTTCTCTGATTCGCACATTTCACCTGCATTTGGTAGGCTTTTGAGCTTGACGCATCTTGATCTTTCCAGCTCGTCTTTCTCAGGTCAAATTCCTTCTGAAATCTCTCATCTTTCTAAATTACAGTATTTTCGTATCTATAGTGGTGATCTAAGACTTGTAGCTCGCGATTTTAAATTGCTTCTTAAGAATTTGACTCAATTAAAAGAGCTTGATCTTTCAAATGTAAACATCTCTTCTACCATTCCTCCAAATTTCTCTTCTCATATAACAATTCTGAAGTTGGGATCCACAGGATTGCATGGGATAATACCTGAGAGTATTTTTCACTTGCCAAACTTAGAAGTTCTTGATTTACGATCCAATGCTCAGCTTAGTGGTTATTTTCCAAAGACTAAATGGAATAGCAGCGCATCTCTCATAAAGTTAGATCTCTCTAGAGTGAATTTCTCTAGTAATTTTCCTGAATCTCTGAGCTATCTAACTTCACTTCACCATTTGTCTCTTAGAGATTGCAATCTTTGGGGGCCTATACCCGAATCCCTTTCAAATCTCACACGCATAGAGTATTTGGACCTTGGAGATAACTCCCTGAATGGAACAATACCATCATGGATATTATCCTATTCATCGCTAAATCGTTTAGACTTGAAGAATAACCACTTTTCTGGTCAACTTGACGATTTCAAGTACAATACACTAGTTTGGATTAACTTAAAGGGCAATCAACTGCAAGGCCATCTTCCCAAGTCAATTCAAAACCTGGTGAACCTAGAGGTTCTTGATCTTTCATCTAACAATTTTAGTGGTCAAGTGGATGTTAGCTACTTTTCAAACCATAATCAGCTTACCGATCTTGATCTTTCATATAATCGCATCTCATTGACCAATGAGAACGAAGTTAAACTTAGTTTACCCAAATCTCTTTTTAGGTTACTATTGGTTGCATGTGAAGTAAAAGAATTGGAGTTTTTGAGATCTGCAAAGCGTCTTAAAACTTTGGATCTTTCATATAATAAGATTCAAGGAAGAATTCCTAATTGGGCATGGTCTAATTGGATGTTTTCATTGGAATATCTTGACCTATCCCACAACATGCTGGAAAGTGTAGACTCAATTCCTCCTGAATCTTATGTATATTGGATTGATTTACGGTCCAATTTTCTTCAAGGGCCATTACCTATTCCACCAAATTTCATAGAATACTTTTTTATATCAAACAATAATCTAAGTGGGGAGATCCCTTCTTCTGTTTGCACTGTGACATCATTAAGAGTTTTAGACTTGGCAAGAAACAATTTGGAGGGAGCAATTCCACAATGTTTAGGTAACATGAGTAGACAACTCGAGGTTTTGGATATGCAACGCAATAGTCTTTCTGGGGATCTTCAAATGACTTTTAGCTTTCAGAATGGACTCAAAAGCTTCAACTTGCATGGCAATAAGCTAGAGGGAAAACTCCCACGATCGTTGGTAAATTGCCAACATCTGGAAGTTCTTGATTTAGGAGACAATCACTTTAACGACATGTTCCCTATGTGGTTGGGAACTCTTCCGAAGCTACAAGTTTTAAGCTTGAGATCGAATAAATTACATGGAGCTATTAGAACTTCAAGGATTAATTTGTTTCCTCAGCTTCGAATAGTAGATCTCTCTGGCAATGCATTTTCAGCAGAATTACCAACAAGTCTTTTTAAACATTTGAAAGCAATGAGGAGAATTGATCATTCAATGAAGGAACCAATAGATGGATATTACCAAGACTCAGTAACTCTTGTAACAAAGGGGTTGCAGTTTGAAGTTGTGAGAATCTTGTCCTTGTACACCACTATCGATCTTTCCAACAACAAATTTGAAGGACATATTCCTAGTGTTTTGGGAGATCTCATTTCACTTCGGGTGTTGAATTTATCTCATAATGGGTTACAAGGTCATATACCATCATCACTTGGAAATCTATCTGTAGTCGAGTCATTGGACCTTTCGTTAAACCAACTAGCAGGAAAGATACCAGAACAACTCGCTTCTCAGCTTACATCTCTTGCAGTTTTAAATCTATCCCACAATTATCTTGAAGGGTGCATCCCTAGAGGACCTCAATTTGCTACATTTCAGCAGAATTCATATGAAGGTAATGATGGATTACGTGGATTTCCAATTTCAAAAGGTTGTGGCAATGATAGGGTATCAGAGACAAATAATACTGTATCTGCACTAGATGATCAAGAAAGCAATTCTGAGTTTCTCAATGATTTTTGGAAAGCTGCTCTAATGGGATATGGAAGTGGACTATGTATTGGACTATCCATAATATATTTCATGATTTCATCTGGAAATCTTAAATGGCTTGCAAGAATCATTGAAGGGATGGAACACAGAATTATTACGCGAAGGAAAAAGAAGCAGCGAGGTCAAAGGCATTACAGAAGAAGAAATAATAATCGCTTCTAGACAAGTTACCAATCGAGCAAGATTTGATTTCAGAATTGCAGGTAATCAAGTTAAGCTCTACGTCAATCTTTTAGTTTATTGTAACTATAGTAATATCTTGAGTTTTATACTTTTGTTATTACAACTAATCAATGCTCTACTAAGCATATGTTTCTTTCCAAATATCTCAATTAGCCTTTGTTTATGTTTTACGCTAATAAGAATTTAACTATAACATGCGACAGAAGAAGAATCATATGCCACCATTTCCTGGAGCTATTATAGAGGCTTTTACAGGGCTAATGGATTTGGCTATTCCTATGTTCACGTTTAAGCTTTATTTTGTAACATGTATCCCATCTGCGTTTACATTTGTGTTCTTCTTTTTGTGAGTTGGAAAAGTTTGTAATATAGTACTTGCTTTATTAGCTCGATATTGTTTTCAAGTTCATATTTTCAACATTGAATGAACCCAAAAGTTCTGTAGATTGGAAACGAGATAGATCAAATAATCACTTCAAAGAATCTGAAAATCAGGGACTTTCACACAAAGGGAAAGAAAACGGCGTTGACAAAAGAAATCATATCAACAAAAGATTCCGAGTGTGAGAATATATAACCTCTGGTAAGTGTATATAAAGGTCCCAAAAAAATAAAACACCCTTTGTCAACAGGGGAAATGAGTGTGGGGGATTTTCAGGTTCTAACCCGCTCTAAAGTTTTTAAAATTATTCAAATAGAAAAAGAGGAAAAACGTAAAACGTCTTTCCAAATGAATCCTCACATTGAGCTGCAAAAAGATTTTCATCAACATCTAATCCTAATAAAGGATGCTATATGGTCTGACCTTAGGCACCACCAGAGCCGTATTTCTTTCCGAAAACGATCATCTGAAGCTTATCGTATCCAGCCAACACACCAGCACCAGCGACGGCACGAAGGATGTTAGCACCAGCACCTTTGAAAAGAGATTTGGCACCCTCGTTCTTAAGAATCTGGGAGAATGCGTCGAATGAGCTCTTGTACTTGACCGCTTCACCGGAGGTCATCATCATTCTTCTTCGGACTGTGTCAATTGGGTATGAGGCTAGACCAGCACCATTGGTAATGAGCCACCCAAGAGCAAAGCTAGCGAAGAAACTATCCTGTAAATATCCAGATTAAACTGGGGTTAGTAACTCCACAGATGAGGTTCTCTTCCTGCCATAATAATACCCTAAATCACCCTTCCGAAATAACAACCAACTTCGATAGCATTTACACATTTGAGCATAAGCAGATATTATAGATCTTAAATCCAATTTCTCGCATTGGCTTCTTGGTATTGCAGCATAACAGATCAAAAGTTTAAGTCATGCTACTTCAAGCATTTATTCCCCAAAACACACTCTACTTCCAACTATGAATCTTTGAATATATGCATATAAGCTTACGATATTATCAAACACCTATACAAACCAATAAAAAGCAAAGACACTAAAAATAGAGAAACGCCAACCTGCAGGCCTCCGGTCAAGAGCACAGGCTTCAAGGAGTCGTACATTCCGAAGTACAAACCACGGTACACAATGATACCAACACATGAAATGTTGAATCCACGGTAGAGTCCAGCAACTCCATCAGATGCGAGCGTCTTCCTGTAGACATCAACCAAACCATTGAACTGCCTCTCACCTCCTTTCTTTGCAGCCTTGGCATCATTTGCAAGACGGGTACGTGCATAGTCCAATGAATAGACAAAGAGCAACGAGGAAGCACCAGCAGCACCACCAGATGCAAGGTTTCCAGCAAACCACTTCCAGTAGCCATCACGGTCCTTCTTGAAGTTGAAGCGTCTCTTGAAGTAATCCTTAAAAGCAAAGTTCAAGGCCTGTGGAAAAATAATGATTAGGCTATCATAACGTGGAATAAGGTACAGAGTAGCAGCTGGCAATGTATTTCTATATGCATAAACTTCAATCCTCAAAATGAAGGCAAATGGTAAACCTGAGTAGGGAAATAACGGATAACATTGGCAGTGTTTCCTCTCCACAAAGACACAACCCCTTCATCCTGCATTGTCCTTCTGAAACAATCTCCAATTCCCTTGTATGGTTCTGAGAGCCTACCTGTCTTGATCATCTCATCTTGGTTTTGGATCAAAAGCTTCACACGCTCAATAGGGGCAGCAGCAGTCTTTGAGACAGCAGCAGAGACTCCACCCATGAGGAAGTCAGTGGCAAAAGCTGCAACTCCTTTCTCCGTGGGAGCCTGTACAAACACTGGTGAAGCATTTGCGGCGATCAACGATAAACCCTGGGGAGCTTGGCAGGTCTGCAATCCTGCATTGGAGTAGTTGCCATATGCATAATGCCTTTGATATATAGCAGGCCTCTGAATACCGCCATAGCGAGCGTGGACATTTTGGGAGAGACTGGAGCTCAGGTGTAGCTGGTTAGCTACCTTCTGGAAAACAGTCGGGTGCTGGTTCATGTCTTCCATTGCAACTTAGAACAAACTCCTGCAAACAAGGATAAACGACTCAGAGCTTGTAAGTTTCAGCTGAGTATTCAAAAGATTCAGAATAATCCCATATATTCGTAAAAAGAATCTGAATCAATCACAACCACATTACAAAACAGAAGCTACAGTGTGCAATCTCCTAATACAACACACCTGCATAGCAATACATGGAACTACAGTTGCATCAAATGGGATTTTCTTCTTGAATTTCAGCATTGCCAGAAAAGGTGATCTGTTTGTTACTCAATGAGTATCATCTTCACGATTCTCAATTCTCAAGGGAAATAAGCTAATTCAATATGGGATACACTCGAAATCAAAACGATATGGAATACACTTATCTATTACGAATCGTAACAGGAAAATATTAGCTTTGCTTTAACAGAAAAGCACAACCTTTTAGAAAAACATAATTCACCATTGAACGGTTCAAAGACAAACCACAGTTTTATCTGACAATAAAACTTAGGTGTTTCCGTCAGCAGGAATCAGGATGACAAGGTGATGCCTAAACAATGGTCTTCACAAGAATGAGAAGAAGAAAAAAAGTAGCCACCAAGGATTTAGTTGTTAAATGATTGAACATTTCATATATAACAATTAAACATCTGAATATCATCGTGACTTGTGTGCAACACAACTAACAATAAAGCTACATCGTTTGCTCCACCTTATGCAACTTACTACAGCATATAATACACTAAAACAGGTATAGATATTCTATCAATAAACATAAACACACATACATACACATAAATACACACATAAATAGCACCCAAGGGTGTTGCCTACTGGTCCATGAAGTGGAAGGAGAACCATGGGTTCCCAAGTCAAATCCCAGTGGCGGCAAAAAATACTAGGTGATTTCTTCCTTTCTTGGTGGTACAGTTATCCGATACCTGTGCCGGTGAGAGGTACCAGATACCCGCCGGAATAGTCGAGTCGAGGTGCACGCACGCTGCTGGCCGGCACAAACGTCATCACAGAATTATACACATAAACATAGACACAAGCAGGGGCGGATTTACCTTGGTAGAAGCGGCGTCATCCGACACCGCTTCATCGTAAATTTTGTTAAATATATAATACAAATAAATCATTTAATAAAGTGGTTAAAATGATATAGCTTTTCCCAAATTCCATTCTGGCTCGTTGGTTAAGCTACTGACGTTTTCAGCGGAGGTTGGCAGTTCGAAGGCTTGCATCGTTTTATCTGTGAGTAAATCTTTTTAGTACTAAATCCTTACTGATGATTTGCCGATGACCTTCTTTCAAAGGAATATTAAACCACATTCATTTTTGTATAGAAAAAGGACAATAAACAGTATAAAGCCTACCGGGGTTCAGTTATTTCAAACCATAATTTTAAAAATATTATTTATTGCATTTTACTGAAAGACTTGGTTGTTGCTTGGTTTTATTTTGTAAGTTGTTCGGATGCTTTTATTTGTATGGGTTGAATTTGATGGGATTATTTGGAGGTTATCTGATTGATGTTTTTGTTGTTTAGCTTAATTTCAATGAACAAAGTTTCTCTAGAGCACTGAGCTTTCTAAACCAAGTTCAACGTCTCAAAGTTCATCTAACTTAAGGAAAGGGCCAATGAGTCGGAATAACATCCACAAATATGTCGAGGAGAGTCGTAACGTACTTTTTTTTTAATAATATGATGCCGCTAATTTATTTGCTCTTTATTTCTTTTTTACATATCGACACCGCTTATGAAAAATTCTGCGTACGCCCCTGGACACAAGCAAACATACATAGAAACAACATAAGAAACAAATCAAATTAAATGTAGACCAAATCAGTAAAATCAACGATTTACATCCATATAACCATAATTTCGTAGCAAATGAAACATAAAACACATATTAAATCCACAAAAAATACAAATACATAAACATGAACTCAATTTCATGATACAAAAACACACATAAATGATCTACACAAAACTTGGGAAAAAAATATAACCATTACAGATGCATCAAAACGTAACGATCCTGTAAAGACTACAAACTGAACAAAAAAAAAAGCACATATCAGGTATTGAAACGATAATCGGAAATGAGCAAGTGTGAAATATACGCAATCGATGATAGTTTCAGAAAATCAACAGGAATGTTCTAGAGAGAGAGAGAGAAACCTGCGTTCGACTCGCCTCGAAGTAGCTGATGAGAGAGAATAATCGGAGAGAAGAACGAGGAGCTGAACGAGGGAGGGCGAAAAAGGTTTTGAAATGGCAAATGAATACGGGTATACATAGGTGACTTTTGTGGCTCCCACTCACTTTCGATTCCTTGTTTCGAGGCACACCATTGTTTAGTTACACCCCCGCTTATTTTTTTCTTTCAACAAAAAAGAAAAGGCCACGTTGACAATAAAAATATTTATGCACGTGATTATTTATAGTACTATACATTATACTCCATATTATAAAATAAAGATTGTAAAGTAAAGACAAGTACAAAGAGAAACTGATATATTATTCGAATTCAAACTGATGTACATAATAAACTGAAATCTCTTCTATTTATAGAAGAAAGGAAACTGTTGTGTAAGTTGCTACTATACCAGATATGGATAATCTTCTACTGAGAGCAATGTTTATCCATAACGGAGTACTGAAAGGATAAGCTTAATATACCCGATATGGATAATCTTCTACCGGGGGTAGTGTTTATCCATAACTGGGTACTGAAAGGATAAGCTTATTATACCTGATATGGATAATCTTCTACCGGGGGTAATGTTTATCCATAACTG